AAGACTACATTATACTCTCTCTCTCTCTCTCTCTCTCTCTCACACACACACACACGCACACATTATTCCAGTATTGAATGTCCTTCCCATCTGCTGTCCATTAGGCTCCTCTTCTTCAGCCTTCCTGCTTTCAAGAGAAACTGTTCAGTCCCATTATTGCTACAAGTCTTTATGATGTCTGTGAGTCTTTATTGCTAAATACTACTCTGAACTCAAATACATCTCAATCATTATGCATCATTAAACTCAGAAATCCCAGGTTTCCACAGATGCTGGTTTTGTATGGTTGTTGAAGCTCACAGTCGTGTCTGAGCTCAAGCAGAGGGAGTTTCCACACTGTATGGTCCACTCAGGTGAAGATCTTCTAACACACTTATGTACTGTAACATTCATTTATGATGGTCCACAGTTGTAGGTGCATCAGAGTCGCAGTGTAACAGTAAGTATAGCCAGTCACTATTTAAAAAATGTAACCACCCTTCATACTGGTTGGACACACCATACGGTGAGTCTTTTTTGTTTCTAAAAATACTGCATAAGAAGTTGTTTTGATTGTTTCTGATAGGTGCACCGCCCTCAGCGGGGCTGCAGATGTATTCCACTGATTTCAGATATAAAGTTAAACTACTGGCAGTGAGTGTTTTGTGTGTTTGTGTACAGCTGAACAAAATATTACTTCGTGTATATTTGTGCATGCATGAGTTTGCATATGTGCTTGGCATGTACGTCAATAGTAAAGTATGTGTCCTCATTAGTTACATCCGCAGTAGGTAACTTTTACTATGTCCTGATAGTAGAACACAAGACAGATCAGATCAGTTCCTCTGGCTACTCCTGGTGCTCCTAATGGCATTTGGAAGAAACCGATCAAGAAAATTGATTGTTGAGTCTCATTCCCAGGTCATCAAATACCACTTAACGACTTGGGAATGAGACTCAACAATCAACTATGTTTCTTGGCTCTGGTCGTTTTTAGGAGCAGTAGAAGGAGTCAGAGGAACCTGATTATTTCTTTGAGGATATAGTGAAAGCAGATGTATATTTTATAAATGTTATGTACTGCAGCTTTAACTGTGTTGCTCTCACAGATAGGTGGTAGCCTCTCTGTTCTCCCTCTCTCTGGCCTGAGCCACGGCCACGTTGATGCACTGCAGCCACTCCTCAGCATGTTTTTCATCCTGAGCTTTCAGCACGTACGTCTTGCTGTCTGTGAAGATCTCAAAGGCCCGTGGCAGGCCGCGATCACGCCGCTTCTTGGCTACCACCTATGGAAAATAAAAAAGGAGAGAGAGAAGAAGCTTTATGTAGCCCCCTTGTTTCTCACTTTATGGCCGCAATGCTGCTCACGGTATTGGAGATGTCTTCTTAAATTATTTATACTTGGGACTGGGGAGCATTTAGACCTTTCACACAGTAGTAAAGATAAAAAGGTTTTGGGAGCAGACTTCTTGCAGATGAAAGTTTTGTGGGGGATGATGCAACGTAACTTCTCACCTTGACACTTTGCACCTTGCTCAGCTCAATGGGGATGTCATCCAGCTCGTCTTTCTGAGAGGGGTAAAATGAGACCGGTACAGAAACAATCGAACAAATGAAAACTTCAGGTGGTAATTCTTCATTTGCCAACAGCTATTGTTCGATATCAGAGCTGCACAACCTGTGCTCACTGAGTTAATGTAGGATTCAGAAAAGAGATCTTAATAATAAAGAAAACTGAAGAAATGTATCTTTAGCCATGTTAAAAGTCTCTTTGTGAATTTTAACCATATCAATATCTCTTGTTGCCACAATGTCCGATGTTGCCTTCTTATTTCAGCATCACAATTGTGTTATAATGTTTTTTCCAGTATGTACAACCTCAGAAGAAACCTTTCACAGACAATTACAAACAATTACACTATTGTTCTTCTTCTTCTCCAGGGTAGGAAATCCTCCAGCTTTGCTGCACATCGTGTCCATGTTTTACCCCACTAAGAGTCATTTTGAATGTGTGTGTTTGTGAGAGTGGGGAGGTGTGGTTGTGTGTATGTTGCACCACAGCCATGGCTTCTTACCTCATAGTTCGTTGTGGTGGTTATAACCACATAACCAGAGCTGGCTGCAAATCTTATGGCAACAGCCCACATCCTTTCTGTGGTGTGTGTGCGAGGGTGTTTGTTGAAAAGCATTCAACCGAAGTAGACGTGTTCACAGTTTTACCTCCCCGCTGGCTGTGCTGAGGGTCTGGTTTCCCACAGCAGATCCATGTCAGTGGATGTACTGATTTAAATGGACATTTGCTTGATTTTAGCCATGGGATGAAAATAATTCTTTAAGATATTGCCCTTATAATACTTAAACCTCATTAATTTTGTACCTTTAGTGTGTTACTTACTCATTCTTTTAACGCCTTTGACAGCATACATTGAATGAGACAAAGGTGCTGGTATGAAGCCAAAGACTTGAAGGTCCTGTAGTTTGGAATAAATTAAAATGTCCAGACACCTTAGCGTATTTATGTGTGTATTTGTTGAGACAGCAAGATTATTCTCTTATTATATATTATTATAATATTGTATTGTATCATTATTCATATTTGTACCCTGACAAAAAAGTTTGGGATGTTTTTTGTGGGAGACACTCACAACAGTACAACTACACTTTGCTGCTAAAAAGAACCATTTTGTTTGTTAAAATTATTCTTTTCATGATGTGCATGTTTGCTTTTTGAATTCACATCACCTTGCAAATAAAGTATTATGGATTATGGAGCTTCACATTTGCTGAATTATGCCACAGAGAAATACAGCAAACCGTAAATTGGATAAAGGGTACAAGTGCTTGGGCTTAAGTTAATATCCACAACAACTGTATCATAAGTGCTGTGTTAAGTATAGACACACTGAATACCTCATTCATTCTAATTTCCTGTCCCTAATTTTCCTGCATGAGGTCTTGCCAAATCAAAGTCCAGTACTTTGGCATCACTCTCTGTCTGGTCCTAATTAAGGAGAAAATGCAATATTCAAGGGAGGACACACTGGGATCAACAATAACCTACGATAGAAAATAGGCATCCTTCATCATCCACTTGGTATATGCTTGCTCATAAAATAAATGTGACCAGAGCGAGATAACAGGCTAGTGGTTTTGGGGAATGTTTCACACCACTCAGTGTGTCAAAGCTGCTCCATAATTCAGTGTGGAGGAAACAACATTTTTTGGTTCCTAATCTCACTCCCGACTTGGGAAAGGTCTTTCACAACATACCAACCACCTCCAGAACATGCTGGCAAAGACAGACTGAGAACAAAGGCACAAAACCCCTTCCAATTTGTGGCTGCGGAGAGGAATCCATTACCATCTGGATTGGAGCACAAAGACTATTGTTCAGTGTAGAGTTTTACTTTACATTTCAACCACCGGAGAATATCCCCCCCTGTTTCCTGATATTCCTCTGTGATGTCGTGCCTTGCTCTCGTTTTTTGGGGGCTGATTTTATAAACATGGCGCAGTCTAAAGATCAAGAGGATACCCTATCTCTTGTTGGCTGTGAAAATTATTTAAATTACAATTGAGATAAGATAAGATTAACCAAGATATAAGTACGAGTGAAGTAAAGGTTCCAAATATATCTGATTTTTCCACAAACTGAGCTGAAAAAAGTAGTATTAGTAGTTCTAGTGTCAACTTGACCTTATTTTTTAGGAAACTTTTTCTGACCTCAACACATTTGTGATTACGCTGCTGTTTTTGATTTTTCCTTTTTGCACAATAATTCTCTGTTCAGTGACCTCAGCCTTTGTTCACCTTACAGTAAGTCACCAGCACACAGGGAAGTTGGAGGGAAAATTGTGTTATTGCAACCCAGAGGGAAATCTCCTCACCTTTGCGTTCTGTCTTTCTTTCACTCACACATACAACACGAGGCAGTGCCTCCTCTTGTGTGTTTGCTACTTGTGCGTAATGATATCTGCTTTGAGTTATAGTGGGTGAGAGTGACTCATCTTGTTGCTGCATCATGCTTTGGCCTTGGGAGTCCCCCAGGAGTCCTTACCGGGGCCATGGTTTGTTACAGTTGGATTCGCCGGATGCTCCTGAGGGACGGTTAAGCTTATCACAAGATGAGATTTCCACTGTTTCATACACAGTTTCATCATAATCAAATGACACGGAACAGGGAAATATTAATGAGGATTTTCTAAGTGAGAGGCCAGGGACAATGTGCATGTGTGTCGAAGTGTGTTTGTGTGTGAGGAGGCTTCGTTTTCATGGGCTACGTACTGATTTGCCTCTCCGGAAGAGTAGCTGGTTTCCTGCCAAGGTGAAGTAACGGGTTTTCCAGCGCTTGATGAACTTCCAGCGGACCTGCTTCTCCTTCAGCTTCCCCTCAATCAGAGGCTGTCCCTCCTGGTTCACAACTAGACAAACAAACAAACACAGAGAGGGAGAAAGGCAGGAAGAAACAGATCAAAAGAAGAAAGAAAAAGAACAGACAAAAAATAAAATATATTAGTGTTTTTATGTTTTTTTCCCATTTGCTTGACATTCCTGCTGACTATCAATGGATTTGATCTGAAAGGTCACTATGATGCATTCATGAGTCGGTGGGAGGGTCTGACATTTGAGACTTGAATGAATCAGCCATTGAACAGCACTATATTCACAAGCTATATCTTGCCAGAAAATCTCAAAAGCTAAATATAAAAAATGGTTGAGGTAAAATAAACAATGCAGCATTGTCACTGTGATAAGTCATCAATTTCCAGCAAGTTTCAAGACTCTGCAAGCTGCGGTCAGATCCAGCCCACAAGACAATTTCATTAGACCTCCTACATGCTTAGAATTTATTATTAAATCAGGCTAGCAAATTTCTACTTTTCCATGTTTTGCTTCTTTTATTTTACTGTAATCTTTTCATTTTCTATTAAGCCTGTAACATCTCAATATAAACACTTAATGACCAACTGCACTCTGATCTACATACACCAAAATGTGCCTTTTTGGACCCACAAGAAAGATAGAGACACATTAATTGAAAAGCTCGGTCAACCTTCCCCTTTTCCCTTTACTTAGAAATGCTATGTGCATTCAACATAGATGAGCCCAGCACATAGCTAGCTTTAAGTACAGGAGGGGAGAAAGTTGACCGAGGTTTGCAGAACTGTATTGGAGCACAGAGCAAAAGGGGACTTAGGAAGAGTCAATTGTATATGTCAGTGAATGCACCATCTGTCGTGAACCCTCCAGATCTTTTTTAAAAATCTTGTCACAAAGCACCTGTCTGCTTTATATCCCCATAACTTTCTCCAAATAAAGTGCGATAACATCTTTGCATCTGCAGCACAGGACAGCCGCCCTGCTGATCTGAGCCTTTCATCATTTATTTACTGTAAAACCAGCCAGTTAAACATTTTTATAGTTATTGTGTATCTTAAAGTTCTGTTTTCAATTTCCTTTACTTTTATTTATTTCTGTTTCTGTCTCTTTAATTCTTACTCAAAAGCCCTTTGAACTGCGCTTGCATGAAATTGTGCGATACAAACAAAGTGGAACTCTCCCACTTCCAGTCAACATTAATGGGTTGTTCAGTTCAAATCGACAAAAACATTTTATCTCACTTGTGTGTGTGTGTGTGTGTGTGTGTGTGTGTGTGTGCGTGTGTGTGTGTGATCGGCTGGAGGAGAACTCCCACAAAGTCGAGTCTGGACCAGTCTGATTAGAAACACTCACCCACACTGAGTTGGATCAAGTACCGATTTGATTCTGTGTATGTCTGAGCGTATCTCTAATGGCATGCATCGGCGTGTTCATGTATGAATATGGATGTTTTTCTTGAATACAACTTTTGTTCTGACCAACTGATCAATCGAAGTGATCACAGATTGATGTTTAGTAACTGACTGTGTGATATGTGTGAGAGTACTGTGATCTGCCGGCCAAAACACACGCGTATTGGTTGGTTCAGGTTCGGTGCCAATAAAACCAGGAACTTCAGATGTTGACCACCAAACAGGGACACTCTTTGTATCCACGACGATGAGTAAAGCAGTTGAGAGATTACCTCAATCTGATCAGAGTGTGTGTGAATGTGTGGGCAAGCTGGCTGGAAAGATGATTCACAGAGGTGCTCGACGCCAAACAGGACAAACCTGTAAAGGTCATCACAACCTCACAGGAGAAGAAAGAAGAAAGAGAAGCTTTCTTGCTGTTTTTCTGTTTCACATCACTGTAAATGATGTGAAAAACATCTTTCAGACAGATTGTCAAACAAAACCTTGTAGCATTATAAAGACATTAATTCAGGGTCTGAGAACGTTTTATGAGCATTTAATAGTGTGTTTTGACATTTGACTAAATAATGAATTGAAGAATAAATAAAAATAGTAAATTAATTAATAATAATAATCCTCAGCAGCAGCCCAAAAATATAACATAATAGAGACCACCATGCTATGGGGGGCTGTAACAGAAACAAATCTTCCTTTCAAAGGGTCAGTTCACCCAAACCCAGTTTGTCTGGTGGTATCTAGCAATGCAGTTCATTTTGATTTATATTGTCCAGGTTTGGAGATATTAATCTCTGATATTCCTTCCTTCATCCCAGTACAACAGAGATGAACAGAATTTAGTTTGCTTTGCTCACAGCTTTAAAACATTACATTAAAAATGTCACTGTAACACGTCTTTCCAGAAACAATCTCAACAAGTCACAGAACAAAAGCTGTATGTAGTAATTTGAGTGAACTGACCCTTTAATTCCAGAGACAACAGTAGTGCTTTTTTAGGAGATATTTGACTGGATGAAAAAAGTGTGACATTGTTTTGCATTTGTATGTTTTCAACATTGTACTGATGATTCACTGGAATCAATCATGTGAGTAAAACATTTGCATTTTTTTCAAATTGTCTGTTATTGCGTGTGTGTGTGTGTGTGTGGACTTCCTGTCAGCCTGTTTGGGCAGACGCTCTGCCTATATACAACTGGAATCACTCCCCCCATGGTGGGGTGCCGGCTTGTCTGCATCATCTAACAAATATTTCCGTTTTTTCTTTCTTATGAAATAAACTTGTCTGCTGTATAAATCACTGCGCCGTCTCTTTGCTTTGATGAGGACACCTGGAAAGGGATCCCTGGATTAGTTGTCAGCCTCAGGCAGGCACTGTAGTTCACAACCCCTCGTCTGAGACATGCTGACGTCAAACAATGAGATGAGAAAGTAAACAGAGGTGGAAAATAAGTAAGTACATTTACTCAAGTACTAATGTTAAGGTACTTAACTTGAGTATTTACTACATTTAAGTACATTTACTCTTCGACATTTTAGAGGAAAGTGTTACACTCTTGCTCCACTTTATTTAGTTCATAAGGTACTACAAAATATAGTTAACAAATACATTATACACCACCAACCAACACACGCGGCCATGTACACCTCCTAAAACACATAGTTGGACATCATTTATCCAGTTATTTTCCTTGTCTCCCTTCTACAATTGTCTTTTTACCATATTTGTGAATTAAATACAATAAATACACCTTTACATTGTTTATGCAGTAGACTGAGTTAACAAGGTGAATTTATTTAGTCATTTTGCTAACAAAGTGGATTGCATCCCTTACTGATTATAGTCAAAGACAGGACTTTATTGATACCTGAGGGAAAGGATGTCAGCTCAAATAATCAAAATGAGCACTGCGTTCTATCACATCCCAGTGTGTCCTCTGTTTGTTTCTGCTGCATTCACGCTTTTGTTTTTATCTGCACGGCTAGATTATTAAAAACACATTTTATTTCTGTATCTGACTCTAAATAAGGCCTCTTCGCCAGTGGCTCTTGTGCTACATGTTGAGCCTCGTGGGAGAGACAGGATTTCAAAACTGTGACAAGAGTCATGTGTCCAACCCAAATCATTACCAGAAACAGCTGTCCCTTCAAACAAGCCTAATTACACCCTCAGGTTTGAATATGAAGAGACCTTCATGTTTGTATCTGTCAGTTTGTTTAGATTTTATAATGTATGAGTCCATTTGTGTATTAATTTCTGCAGTTTGGTGTTTGTAGGTTTTGGCTTGAGGACGACAACATCAAGATGAGGTGAGAGGAGAACAGTGAGACATATCCTGACAGAAAACTATACCACAGTTGACAGCACACTGACTCACTCTTGTTAACCACCAATGTTAGGAAAAAATGTGGTCGTAAACAAGTTACCCGTGCCCCCTTCTGTGTTAAATGTCAAGCCTCCCTTTTTGAGTGACAGAATTTCATAAGTCGAAAAAATGCCAAGTCATTACCAAGAGAAAGTGCTTTGTCTAGCTTTGTTAAGCTTCAGGAAAGAAAAAGGAAACAGACAAACACACACAAGTATTAGAGATTTTCAGCTGTTGGTTTAATGGAATATTCTGTTGTTAGTAGCAACCACTACTGACACAGTTCAATAGCAACTACAGTTAAACTGACATTGTTAGCTACATCAACGGTGGACAAGCAAATACTGACAGCCATCTTTTGTCTATGCCCCTAATGCCCATGGTGGAACAATTTCTTCTTCTGCCTCTCTCAGTGCACCGCTAGAAACGCATCGCCTGCAGAACCATTGTTTTCCTATGGTACGGTCTGGTGTGCGCTCCTTTCTTGCGCCACAAGTCACTGTTTTCTAGTGGTTTTTGGATGTGCATTAAAGTTAAACTACTTTCATCTTTTCAGTGCATGGCGTGGAGTCATAATTCAGGAGGCACACAAGCCCAACTATATATAGCTAATATCAGCTCCTCATCTGTGAAAGCCAGCAAAGGGAGTGAGTTGGTTGCAGGAGCTTCCCAGGGCAATCGCTCTGGAGAGCACTGGGAGTCCAGACCACAAGAAATTGGTCAGGGAATTCTCCAGTTGGCTCTGGCTTAAGAGGAGTGAGCAATGGCACAACCTGGCCGGCAGAAGAGAGGGAGGTGAGTAGACCCGAGGATGCTGGTACTACTGTCAAGCCTGAGATGTCACGGGCGAGTCAGTGAGACACTGGTGACGGTAGCTGTCTGAGGCTAATGCGTTGCTAATTTTTACAATACATATGGAAAGTTTGACAGTACAGCTTCATTGATGAACATCATAAAACAATTGTCCCTTCTTGTCAATAACGATGTATTAGCTCGAGGTTTTAGTGTCCTTATGAGGAATATCTAGCTGCATTAAATCATTTCAGCACATTCTCATTCAACTCTCCATGTCACTTGGCACAGTGTGATGAATGTCTCTTTAGCCAGGGAATCTCCTGAATTTGAAACATAATTCCTGGAGGTGAAATTTTCTGTCCAGCACGACTTCAATCATTGATAGTGGAATGATGGAAAGTCTTTTTTGGGGTTTTCCATCTTTTAGCAAACAGGGGATCTGTCTTCCAGACATGAGTAAATGTGTGTGCA